GTTATAGTAGTAACTTAGGCATGGAGTTACTTGACTTCTTCGTCGTCGCTATCTATTTCTTCGTCGCCGTTAAGGTTAGCCTAAGCTAGTGCGATAGGGGCAGGTAGGTAGTTAGTAAGTAGAACCTACTAGTGGTTATTGCTAGGAGTAGCCTGAGTAGCTATTGCATTCGATATTATTTAAGGTAATACGAGTAATCTAATAAATAAGAGCTATTAATATATAATAATCATAGTAAGATCTAAGGGATAAACCGGTTATATTGGTTTATATTAATACTAGATTATATTATGTAGCCTTAAAGGTTAGTATAGTATTACGTCTAGTAATATACTCAAAGGTATTAAGTATAACTAAGTTATATTAATAGCTAAGATAGCTACTATATAAGAAAGTGTAATAAGTATATTCTATATACTTTAGGTATTAGTTATGATTACTCTGCCTATTAGTCCTGATTAAGGTGATCGTATAAGTGATTAGGGTGATTAGTGAGATAATTACTGTGATCCCTTGGTATTAGAGGTGATCGTTTGTTTGATTAGTGAGGAATTATGGGGGTCCGCCTATGCACGTGATAGGTGCATGTCAGGCCGTGACAAATATAAGTAATCTAATAAATAAGAGCTATTAATATATAATAATTATAGGTATATTCTAAGGGATAAACCGGTTATATTAGATTTATATTAATATTAGATTATATTATATAACCGTAAAAGATAATATAATATTATATCTAATAATATACTTAAAAGGTATTAAATATAATTAAGTTATATTAATAGCTAAGATAATTATTATATAAGAATATATAATAAGCGCGTTTTATATATTTATAATTATTCTTTAGACTAATATTCTCTAGGTTTAATCTAGGGTAAGATTAATATTTCTAATAATTAGTCCTTAGACCGATGCGGGCGATATTTGGTCCCTTTGGTCCCTTGCTTAGTTAGAGTGTTTCTGCTATAGTTCCCCGCCTGGCTTATGTTATGGCCGTGATAGCTTTGGTGAAGTTACCAACGACTAGGCAATAGCAATATATTATAGCAGGGACGCCATCTATATCCATTCCCACGCAGCTAATAAGGCGGGAATGTCCTTTGCCTAGTTAAGAGGGGATAAAAGGCGTTCTATAATATATATTATATACTATAGGATAATTTAATAGATGGCTTTTTTAGTATTAATAAGATTATATAGGACTATAATAGATTAAGTTACTAATTAGATCTAACTAGGTTCCTTCTAGCCTATAACCTTTAGCCTTACCTATTATACTATTAAAATAATATACTTTTCTATCCCTTATTATAATTAAGACTACCTTAGTATTATTTTTTATACCTCCCCCCGCTACTCTAATATTATAATTATTACTAATACTCTTATAAATAAGATAATTCTAATATTATAATAGGTCTATAATTAGATACCTAAGCTATAATAGGTTATCTCTATAGGTAGCTACGCGAATAATAGAGGATATTATTATTATAGTTACTCTATTATAAGGGGCTATAATAGGATTATGCCTATAGATATCTATATACTAGGTTATCCCTTAATATCCGAGGCGTTAATATATAGCATTTTTTAGTTGCAGAAGAAGATACGATGCATAAAGACTAGTCGAATGTGGTATAGAAAGTAGGCTAACGTACTCCACTGGCGAGCAAAACATAATGACCCTGTGCCCTGAAGTTAAGGTGGATGGGTGCGTGTTGGAAGATAGGTAGTTCCCCCTGAACGTCAGGGGTAATCCCGGTAATCCTGAAGTCCTAGAATCTAGGACTTCTGGGGCTTATAGTCCTACGGATGAAGACTATATATATATTGAATCTGTATTCATCAGAGAATGTAGGAACGAGAAATACAATAAAGCAATTCACTCGCAATCCAACAACAAGACAGTAACGGGGATGCCCCGCCTCATTTCTCCTACAGCTTTACGATAATCTTGCCCCCTGACATCTTACCCGACCGCAGCTTATCAAGCCCGGTTAAGATCCCGTCCCATCCACCCTCTTCAAGGGATATCGGCGGCGGCCTGAGCGCCTTGTCCCTCACGAGCTGCGGCAAGCTGGCATAAAAGCGGGCAAGTGCCTTGCGGTCATCGGGCAGCGCCGGGAACTTAGGCCCGACAGGCGGCAGCCACTGGAAGGGCCGGCCAAAGAGCGTGTATGACATTATGAGCTCGTGCTCGATGCCGGGGTACTTGGCTTTGGCCGGGGGCAGCAGCGCAATGAGCTTGCCAGCCTTATTCTTGAGGACAGCGTCGCAGACGGCGAAGGACTTGCCCTCGGAGAAGCAGTCTACGGCGAGAGAGACGTCCGGGTACTGCTTGATAATGGCGTCGGCGACCTCGGGGTCCTGGTAGTTGAAGACGGCGTCGGCGCCGTAGCTCTTGACGAGGTCGGTGGAGCGTGGCGAGGCGGTTGTGACGACGGTGTAGCCTGCGAGCTTGGCTATCTGGATGGTGAAAAGGCCGGCGGACGTGGAGCCGGCGTACACAAAGATGACAGGAGCCGGGTGCTGTTGTTGGGTGGCCTTCTTCTCGTCGGGATAGGGAAGGCCGAGGCGAGCGTTCAAGGCCTGCATGGCGGTCACGGCCGAGATACCGAAGGTCGCGGCGACCGTGTCGTCCACGTCGGCGGGGATCTTCCAGGCGAGATCGCTGTCGGTCTTCAGATACTCGGCGAAGGCACCCCTGTCGGGGAAGAGACCGCCGTGGACGGCACCGGCGATTCGGTCGCCGACGGACCAGGATTTGGCGGCGTTGCTGCCGACCTTGACGACCTCGCCGGCATAGTCGCAGCCGATGACACAGCCGGGCGGGGAGATGGCGTCGATGTGCTTGTAGTCGGTCGGGTTCAGGGCGACTGCGCGGACCTTGACGAGGACCTCGTCTGGGGAGATGGCGGGCTCGGGGATGTCTATGAAGTCTGCGCCAGGGCCGCCGATGGTCTTACCCAGGATAAGGGCGGCGACTCTGGAGAGCAGGTGAGGTTTTGACACGAGGGCCTTCATGATGACGATGCGTGGTAGATGGGATAGGAGAAGGATCGATCAGTGGCGTTAGGGCGGAGGTGGAACGTCGGTGAAGTCGGGACTACCATATGTACCTACACCAGTGCTAGGTGCCGCAGTAACTAAGGCTGGTCGTATGCGCCGAAATTGCCGAGAGCTTGCCGCTTGCATCACAATATCATTCCCATGGATGACAAAGCATACGAGCTGTACTACGTGGTATCTTGATGGCTCCGGAGTAGCGCCATCAAACCCTCCGGATGCGAACCAACAGACTTGGCTCGGGCGGTCCAATAGTCCTGCCGGCGGGCGCGGCTGGCGTATCTAAACCACCGGCGGAGTGAGATGGCATGTCGTCCCTGTTTGGGCCGAACCCGGAGACACGAGGCTGGATATTGTTGAACTGATTAGTTACAATGACCTGAAGGTAGGTCAGACCCATGGTGTCAAGTTTGTTTGTCGGCCGTCTGACAACCCCTGCATGGTCTGGCCAGCCTCGGCAGGCATTAAGAAGATTAGTGAACTCCGCCTTTCCGCTCGCTTTTACATTAACGCGTCGAATCGGAGGCTTATGAAGAGGGCATTCTCGTCGTGGCCCGTATCTATGGATCTGCTTGAGAGCTTGCTCGAGAGTCCTGCTGTCGAACCCTCCCCGCAGCCGGACATCAAGGTCGACCGACAAGCGGCGCTTCTTGGGACCTAGCAGTTGGTGTAAGCCGGGGAGGCATCTAGCAGGTGCAACAATCGGATGCGGCTTTTCACACCTTCAGCGACGGCACGAGATCAACTTGCCACGGGGCAACGCCGTAACGGAAGCAGTACGGTTGCACACTGGATCCGAAGAGCAGAACCTGTGGCCTCCAGTCATGGATATACCCGGACCTTTCAGAGCCACGCAGTTACTTGCATACCTTCTAAATCACAACCGGAAACACCTGAACATTGACAAACCGGTCCATGATGATCATTGACGTTGCAACCCTCGAGATTTGTTGTAAACGTTGGGTTAGTATCTTCTACTTGGTACTTACGCCTCCTTATTTTAATCTCAAGCGGTGAGCGCTGCCTCATCTAAAATAAATATCCCAGACCTAGATTTTCATGCCAACCATTTCTCCCCTTAATGTCAACCAACTCTACCCCCAGCGTTCATTAGCGTCGTCGCACTTTGTATGGGGGGAATTGTCGGATCTGTCGATCCTGTCTGATTGGGTCAATTGATTGTCTTTTTTCATCTTGTCCCCATTTCTGTGCTGGTGCTGGGTTTCCATGACACCTTGTGCACTTATGTCTATAATGATGTGTGGCACGCCCACTTTGTTGTCAGTAAGGCAGGGTTTTGTCCTGTTACCCAGATTTGCAACAAGCGTTGGTGGGCATCCAAGTACATCTCTCCAACGCGACGACATTCGGTCGCCTGCGAAAGCGCAATGCGGAAATCAGTACATGGTGATGGCGGACTGACATAGCACCGCTCCCGAAATGCTTGACATTCAATGACTGATGACCATCAGTAATCAGGACAATGATGTGTGCCAATGACAGCAAACCAAGTGAAGAGCCACAGCTTAGACTCAGGTATCCCCATACTGGTTCCAGCATATTACTGATGGGTACCACGATCCGGTATGATTTATCAGCCAGTTGGGCGAAACAATACCCGACACGGAGTTTGCCGCAGACGAGTGCTTTTCACCCCAAGCTGCACTGTTGCGGAGGCGAAAGCCCGATCGCCAATCATCTGAGTAAAACAATGAGATGATTTTAGGTTTGGAATCTTCAGAATGATTAAGCCGTAAACAAAAATGAGGGCCTGCATCTGATGTGTCTTTGGAGTTGACGTCATTCATGCTACTACTTGACCGTTCTGCTCCGCCGCTTCAGGTTGAACCGTCATCCCCACAATCCCAGCCGTTTACTGCTGTTCCACTACTATCAGGATATTACTTCAGCGTCACTCACAAAAGATGGCTGGATATACTCGTGTTGCTCACGTCGGCGTATGTTTCTTCCTTCACAATTGCGAGATGTAGATAACTGGCATGCAAGTAGGCCGGTGGCAGTCTCGGCGCGGTTGTCCTGAAGGAACTGGTTGATACCGGCTTGGACGTGACCGTCCTCGTCCGTACGCCGGCAATCTTCCTATCAAGTATCCTTCCAAGGTCAAGGAGGTTGTCGTCGACTAAGGTACAACTCTGAATCTTCCCTGGCGGATGCCCTCTGTGGCCAGGAGGCCGTTGTGAGCACCATGGGGTCTCTGGCTGTTGGGGGCCAGGAGAAAGTTATCAAGGCGGCCATTTCCGCCGGCGTCAAACGCTTCATCCCCTCCGACTTTGGCGCCGATCTAAAGCAACCCTCTGTCCGATCCTTTCCCACGTACGGCGACAGGGTCAAATCGAAGACCTGCTTGAGCAGGAGGCTCGGAAGACAGACCTCTCCTATACCATTGTTTACAACAACCTGTTTCTCGACTGGGGTCTGCAGGCTGGCTTTCTCGCTTATCTGGCCGGAAAGAAAGCCACTCTGTACGCTGGCGGCGTGTTCCCAGTCAGCATGCCGCGACTGTCTACCGTCGGCAATGGGGTCGTCGGCATTCTCAAGAATCCCGAGCAGACCAAGAGCCGACACATGAGAATCCACGACGGCCGCTTGTCCATGAAGGACCTCATCGAAGCGGTTCAGGAAGTTACTGGTGCTGAGGGATGGACGATCACAGAGGAGAATCCAGCTGACGCAGTAGCCAAGCCAAACAAGGCCTTGTCTCCGGGCATATTTGAGGATTGGGTTTTCTTGGTGTCAAGGGCAAGGATCACAACCATCGTGAATAGCTTCACGGCCAGCGTGAACGCTACACCATACCTAGCGTCAGGCAACAGCCTGCTGCCTTTGAGATCGGCAGACTGAACACAGGCAACTCTCGTCGCTCCTTTACATAGAAAATCAAGCGCTCATTTGATCCTCATGGCCCATCAGTACCTGCGACACTTGGGTTACATAAATGTGGCATCCCGGACTGAGGAGTATGGGCCGGGCCCCGAAGTGGTTCAAAACGAGCTGCTGGGCTTGAAGGAGCATTCCACGGATAAGATGAAGAGCCTGGCGAAGGAAATCGCCAAGAGCATCCTGTCAAAGTAATGCCTGTAGATACTAGGGTTTGATGACCTGCCGGCGTCCACTTTATCCTGGATTCCGGACCGGTCCGCAAAAAGGCCATTGCCCCTTCAACACATGCTTAACAGAGGGGGAAGTTGCGCGACTCCTATATCGCGTAACACAATAACCCTAACATAACTTAATTGACAGCAGCGGGCACCGCATTCCAGCCCAGCTCAACAGCTGAACGGTAGTATCGAATTTCTGCGAAGCGCCAACTAATACGTATCTGATATTGGAGTCTGTTGCTAGTCCAAACTGTATGAGGACGAGTAGTGCTTGATTTCATTAAGCGTATATCGCAACTAATATGTTAGATGCGATTTCCAGGGCCACAGAAACGTGCCATACAAGTAATATGGCAGAATGGGGTTGGATTCTGGACAGGCGTGATCAGTATGTTCTCCTTGACCACTTTTCCGGCGGTTACCAACAGCAGTTGATATTTTTAGCAGATGAAGGCATTGGCCCCACACCACGTTTCAGATGAAGAGGGCGGACACCATGATTGCACCGCCTCCCGTTGGTTGGAAATGGAGATGTCGGATCGACAATGACTGATCGACATCAGTAATCGGGACAAATGTTCGTGCCAACGGCCCGTCCAGAACCGCATGGGGCCAAAGTATGTTTAATTTAATGGCATATTCCACCAATGTGGGTATGAGCTTGTTTGAACGGTGAGTAGATGTGGTCAAGTTGCTGAATACAAAGTCTGGCATGATTTATCAGCCGGTCGGGCTAAGCAAAGTCCGACGGAGTTTTTCTTAGAAGGAGTGGTCCAAAGCGTTACCGACCTGACTGCAGTCGATACCTAGAGCCCGAGCCTTACCGCATTTTGAAGCTCGGCCGTAATAGTCCGTGAATTAGTGCGTTCGTCTAGTGCTGCTTCGGCATTCACACGCAAGTTTGACGCGTTGAGTTATCGTGTGGTTCAACTGTCATCGCAGTTGATCACTGCTTAAGTATTTGGGCATGTATAAAGTTCAGCCTACCTCTTATTCTCAGTCAAGTTTCACTCTGTCTGTGCCTCAGAAACTTCATTCTTATCAATTTAAAAAGAAGCACGTATTCGTCACGGTAACTCCATTCTTCTCACAATTTCCAAGAAAATGCATTCCTTCACAGTCTACAAAGGCAGCCAGGATGGCTCAATTAAGAAGACCACTACGGAGAAAACGGAGCTCACGGGCGACCAAGTCCTCGTGAAAGTCACTGCTTCCGGCCTCTGCGGCACTGACGTCCACTACCGCAACCAAGACATGGTTCTCGGCCACGAGGGCATCGGCATTGTGGAAGCCACGGGTCCTGCAGTTCGCCAGCTAAAAGAAGGCGATCGGGTGGGATGGGGCTACGAGCACGACAGTTGCGGCCTCTGCGAGCTTTGCCAATCTGGCCGTGAAACATTCTGCCCAAGCCGCAGTATGTACGGATTTGCAGATCTCGATCAGGGCTCCTTCGCTTCCGGTGCCATTTGGAAGGAATCTTTCCTCTTCAAAATCCCCGATGGTCTCACCGACGCCGAAGCTGCACCACTCATGTGTGCAGGGGCGACAGTTTTTAACGCACTCCACATGCTCGATGATGCTGCCATTGCCCGTGTAGGCGTCATTGGTGTCGGCGGCCTTGGCCACCTTGCGATCCAGTTTGCCGCCAAAATGGGTTGCGATGTCGCTGTCTTTAGCGGTACCGACTCCAAAAAAGCCGAAGCCATGAAGCTCGGCGCAAGGACATTCTATGCCACCAAGGACAAAAAAGGGCTCGACATTGGCGAGAAGAAGCTTGATATCCTGCTCGTCACCTCGAGCTCGCCACCGGAGTGGAGTCTGTATATCCCGCTCTTAAGCCCGGGTGCGACTATTTTCCCACTCACCATCTCCTTTGACAACTTCAGTATCCCCTACCCAGCTCTTGTTTCTATGGGTCTTCGTGTGCAAGGATCCATGGTCGCGCCACGAGCCATCCAAAAGCAAATGCTCGAGTTTGCGGCCCGAAACGGTGTCAAGCCGATAGTTCAGGCTTTTCCCATGACGGAGAAGGGCATAGCAGAGGCGTTTGAGGCGTTGGGGAGTGGGAAAATGCGATACCGAGGAGTGCTGATTCCTGGCGGCCGCATGTAGTATCATGAAGACCCCTTTTTTCGAGCCAAGTGTGATTGACCGCAGGTGCCGACGCTTGAGACGGGGCGGGGAGCAGTTTGGTCTCACAATCAAACAACACGACCGAGGCGTGCTCAAAAGACTTACTTTATAATACATGGAGTTGCTCGACATCAAAATAGCTTGTCAGTATCTATTCATGAGACAGTTGACCAATCTTGAAAGGGGCGCGAGGAATCATGTATAACATGGCCTTTACGGTAGTCGCACGTCGGGATCTTTCGAGAGGAGAGCGAGGGACTCGGCAAGCGTCGCATGGCTCAAAGGACACGAATCCGACAGGAAGGGAGCATAAACTAGCCAAGGGACAGATCTCCAGGCCAAGAACGAAGCAAGACTCGTAATAGAGCTGGGGGGGAGAGAGAGAGGGAGAGAAGGGTAGAGAGAGGTCTTAAGACGAGAGCGGAGATCAAGGAACGGAGCAGTGCCGAGTGCAGCACCCAGCCAGGACGACATAAATGGAAGGCAATTGATAGGGGTGCTACACCATTCTGATACCGCCAACATGAAATCCCGACTCGGTGTTGAGTCATATTCAACGGACCCCGTGAACTTGTAACAGCGTTGAGTGACCTCATAGGGAGCCCTACAGTAGGAGACTATGCACGTGCATATTTACATCCATGGCCGTCGCTGGGTCATTTGCTTGGGCTGTCCTCGCCATCCCCAGGCCAATTCGATTGTTAAGGCGTGGTCGAACCGGCTGGCTTCACCGCGGACAAGGTTTTGGACTAATAGAAGGCCGCGAAAAAGTCATCCCCGCCCCCCCTCTAAGAGTAAGCCCGTGTATGAAAATGGTGCTTTAACTTTCCTATCCTTGTAGCATTGATCTCCATTTCGGGGGGTGGGGCCCCAAGGGTGAGCCAAGCAACAAGCCGTAACTTGTCCAAGGGGTCTTAGTGTCGAGCCGAGTGTCGGGGCAGCTGAGTTTTGTCCATTGAATGCACGAATTTCCTACACGTAGCGTCTGATTTTGGAGGTTTCGGACGTATGCTAGAAACGGCGATAAAGACGCCGGTTTTAGTAGTTAACCGTTAGGCAGCAGAGTAACGATTGGTGTCTCCTGCCGGCAGCCCCGGTAAATCTGGCAGGACCAGCACATCCAGTCAAATAAAGCCTTCCGACCCCAGCGTCTCCAGCTCCGCCTTATCTGACCTTCCATGCGATTCCTCCGTACTTACCAACACCCACCCCAAGATGAAAGCCACCAGAGCTGATACCCCGCCAGCTGATGATATCCTGACAGTAAGCGCAACGAGAAAGGGGGGGTTAGTTGATTGGAGAGTGTGCGGCCCCGCTGACAACGGCGCAGTTACGGAGAGAAAGAGGCAGAAATGCCCAGAGGGCCTTCAGACAGAGACAGATTACGACGATCAACGAGCTTCGGGAAAGCAACGAAGCGATGCGGGTTGCCATCGCGTCTCTAACTCGCGTCGCATCTCGGCTAGGAAATGCGGAGCTCAATGATGCCGTGCATAACGCACGGCAGGCTGCCGGCTTCGATGATGACACGGAATGGACCGATGGCAGCGATGATGGACACGCAGTGGACCCAAGCACAGTTGGTCAACAACGGACACAAGCACTCACTCTGACCGGCGCACCCTCGTCGCCTCCATCTGGACATTATCGCACAGTGCCGTCCGGAACAGAAAATGGACGGCCAGCTCAACACGAGGACAGCGCAGAAAACGGACAGCAACCGGGTTACCTGACCGGACGAATGTCCCCACGGCTTGGGTACGGTCTCTGGCTGGAGCGTCCAGTTTTCAGGGTGAACAACCCTCCTGTCGATATTGTTCCTTACTTGGAAGCCAATACCACTCTTTCTAGCGCCATCTTCTGGTCGGGTCTGTTATGGGGCTCCAATCTTCTCCGGGCTGCTCTCGACGGTAATAGCGAGGCCGCGGCGACGGCTCATAAGGTATTCGACGAGATTATTCCAATGAAATCTGACCGCAGAGTTCTTGATGGCATCCACGCTCGACTGATGTTTCGCAAGCAGGGGTATGTCACGTCTGATCACCCCGGATACGACCCTGAAGGCGAAATGCGAATGCAGGACATAATGGTTCGCACATGTGCAGCTAATGGAACACCGCTTGAAAGCTTTTTGCGGCCAGATGGAGTCGAGGATCTCTTAAGGGGCAGACTTGGAGAGGGTTATCAGGTTATTGAGCTGGGTTTGCAAGGCTTGGGTTCTTCGGAGGATTTATCGAGAGTCCGTAGATTGATTGATATGATGATTAGGAGCAGCGTGTGCTTAGGTGACGGGCCGCGGTTGAGGTTTGAGGCGACAGTCCAGATTATCGAGACTTGGTCGAATAACTGGACTGTTTAGCAGCTGGGGGAGCAGGAGCAGCTACTTACGAGCACAAATTATTGTCCTCAACCCCATCTGCCGATGCTTGGGCCCGGTTTGAAGGTGTCGAAAATTGAAACCCGGAAGTTGCTTCAGGCGTGGTGTTAGGCCTCTGGGGACTTTACAGATGCTGAACTTACTCTCTAATAGTTGCAAAAAATTGATGCAAAGCTTCCGGGAAGGGATCTATCAAAAACGTACAAGAGATTGCCTGCTTTTTTCATCCTCGAGTATGAGTCACCTTACAAGTGAATCGGTCCGGTGTGAAACTGGGTCACATCATGCCAAGCATGGTGTCTGACTGTGATGCTGCGCGGTGCCACGGCTACCTGAGAGCATCACCCACATTGGGCGGCATAATTGCTCGGCAATCGTCGTGCTCTCCCATTTTTTCTGAGGCATTTTGACTGTCAATTACTCATCTGCAATGTACTAGCTCCGATGGTTACTGATGACGGGACAACAGTTGCGCCGGCCGGATCGGCGCACGGGTCGAAGAACACGAATATGAGGGGTTTAACAGCGCCACTGCAGCCATCTGGTCTGCAATGGTACAGCCTTTCAAAGCCCTAGCATCAAGGCACTGACACGATAGCAAGCTCGGGACGCGAATCTGACCGGCACAGCACTAGTGTGACGTCTGGTGTTTTCCAAGGGAATAAACCGGGCGTGCTGGGTTTACTGTTGGCAGAGAGTCTCGGCGTTACTGTGCAATGGGGCGGTCACGTCTTAGTAATGGGTCAAGAAGGTCTTGAAGGTAATTGAAGTTTGTTGATAGCTTGAGGGCTAAATATCTATCTAAGGTGTAATGAACGTTGTATATATACATGAGTGTCTCACGGTTGCCAAGAGGGTATCACGGCGTGAGAATAGGTCTCACGGCGTGAGACTCGTCCTCGAAGCGTGAGACTGTCTCTGGTTGGCTAGGATCAGAGGGTGTTTTATGGGGAAGTTTTGGGCACGTGACGGGGACTGTGTCAGGCCGTAACAACTAGTACCTGCGTCGGACCGCGAGCGTGTCATTCCGCCGCCCGATATCTGTCACCCAGGCTCCGATGGTCTGCAAAGCTACTTGCCTGGGGCCAAATGTACATCAACTTATGTCTCATTTTCCTAAACAGGACTGATTTCTGTGAGGGCCTCGCATCTAGATCAGGCTTAGCAGTAACGTTACGGCTCAGCTCGAGGATCGATTACTAGCACTGTTAAGATCGCGTCTAGATACAGGGCGGAGCGCGAGGAGAGAAAAAGGGCAGGAATTAGACCTCCTCACGCTTCAGGAGTTTTGGATGTCGCCGTCGTCTGCACATGTGACCGCCGTCACGCGCGGTCACTTGTGCCCTTTGTACAGCTCAGTAACTTACCATGCAGTACCCACCCACCGGTAACACCTGTTGAATATGTGGGGTGTCACGTGTGGGTCAACGATCTTAAGATTAAAAGCAGGTCCTTCAGGGGCAGATACTTAACGAGAACACGAACCCAACACGAATACACTGATTCAACCAATGGACCGAATACACGTACTGTCTCACAACACCCACCTACCGGTAAGTAAGAAAAAAGTTTCCCCATATAAACTGCCACTTTTTAACCCCCTCACAAAGAGTCATCAAAAATATAAAAAAACAAATTAATTCCTATTTCTTAGTTTAGAATCTGTAAAAGACTGAAAAATATAGACTATAAGGTCTAAAAATGGTATAGGGTAGGTAACTAAAATAGGAGGAGAATAGGCAGTGGATTCAGTCCTTATAAAGAGCTGATTAGCTAGATAAGGAATCATAGGCCAATAAAAGTGGGTTATAAGATAGATAAGGTTATAGGGTAGGAAATGAGCTTCTGATTGGTGGTCTTTGTGCTTGTATTGGTTTTTTTTTTTTTTTTTATCTAAGTTCTAAGAAAGGAAACTAATTCTTGTCACGACCTAGAACACCTCCAGGCCACGTGACAGGAAGGACCCACATTACCCCACCAATCGCATATGGATCAGGACGGATCACGTCCCGCAGGCCATGATCCTCTCTGAGCCAGCAAGAGGATCATGACGGCTCAGACCCTGCAAGTCATGATCCATCATGAGCCATCACATCACCCAAAGTATATAGAACACACTCACTGCACTTTCTTATATACTAGCTACCTCAGCTATCAATATAACTTAGTTACACTCAATACCTTTGAGCATATTACCAGACGTGACTTATACCCTATTCAAGACAACGCCAGCATCCCCTCTGCAAATATAAACCAGTACGACCGGTTTATTCCCTTAGGACCTACACGATCGTCACAGGAGGGAGCATCGTGTTACAGGCTTAGTCCCCCTGTAAGCGATAGGCTCTATAGGCAGTTGAAGCACCTTCTATAATTGCTACAATAGCGATTATGGCCCAATCTTTTGCCCCGTGGCGCAGCGGCTAAGGTACCCGCAGCTGTGACCGTGCCGTCACAGACGGGACAGAGTTGAATCAATGACTAATCTATTCTCCGTCTTAAGATTATCATTCATCTTGACTTACCACCCTCGTATCCGACACTAACGCGAATACGTCGCGTGCCTGCTTCGAACTTCTCTCCAGTCCCTACGCTTCTTTTAGATATCTATCTATTACATAGTGGAAAATAGGGTCAAGGGGAATGGCTACTTATTTTCTAGATGACTATTGTCAAATGTTGTGTCATGTGTATTGTTGTTGTTCTCTATGTGTTCTCGGCGAGACTCTGAAAAAGGGAGGCGCGGGATCCGCGCTTCCTAATCAGGCCTAGTGCCGGAAGAGGGAAGTCATGTGACCACCCGGAAGGCGGCCATATTTGACAGTATTCAGCCCTATAGTCGTAGTAGCAGGAGTAGTAGTAGTAGCAGTAGAATTTATTACGCCCGGGAGAACATCCTTATAGGGCCACTTAATACACCAACCCGGCTGCGGTCCCTCCTCATTAACCCGATCTACACAAGCCTATAGCCATATCTCGTAGTTGTCGCAGTGTTAGCGCATCCACGCTTAGATAATGCCCACGGGTACCCGTGTCCCTATGGGGCCCCAAAAACAACTACTGCATGTGTAATTGGATTGATTATGGGCGTGGCTGCGCGCTAAGGGCTTAAACGTGCATAGTGGAGTAAAAACCCACTCTGCCAAGGTTCTGAATTTCTCGAGTTTCTACGGTAGCTTTTCATTGTCCTCGAACTTATGTGGCCCACGCATGGCATTCGGCTTATTTGAAATGCCTGCATTGTGCAAAATGTATTCTTTACTATCATAGCCAGGCCTCCCGCAGGGAGACCAATTGACCACAGCAATTCTCAAAAGAGGGTGGATCAAGGGGTGCAACCGCAGGTGTGGTCAGAAGAGATGAGTGAATTGAGCTACTGAGGAAGGCTTCTAACGAGGGGATCTAGCCGAGGTCTTTGTACTGCAACCTCCCCTTAGATGCATAGGAATTTTGGTGTAATTAGCAGGGGGCTCTGGAATGCTGTGAGGCATTTAGTCTCACCCTCGGAATCCCTTTTGGCACCCCTCATTTGGGCCCATTCCAACAACAATAACCCCTCAACGCTCTATTTTAGCGTGTAGACCAGCTTCTCGCCGCTGACGGTCCCCTTTCGAACTTCCTCCAGACCCTTTAGCACGGCAGCTAACCCAGACCCGTGGGCGTTGACCTTGGGCTTGTGCACCTGGATCTTGCCCTCGGCCAGGAGCCGTTCGGCGAGGCTCCAGAAGTCACGAGCAAAAGCTGCGTCCTCAGGCTTGGCAGAGAAAGTGTGAGGTCCGAACTGGAAGTCTTCGCCAATGGCGGTGTAGGCCAAAGTCATGTTGTACTTGGCTCGTTCACTGATCCAGGCGACTGATTCGTCGGGAAGAAGACGCAGAGCCGAATAACTTCCACCAGCTCCCAGGGCGGACACGCTGTTGCGAGCAGTGTCTTCGGTGGAAATGCAGTCAAAAATGTGCTTCAAGTGTCCGCCCGTGTATTTGCGGAATTCTTCAACCAGGGTATCCGACTTGTAGTCAAAAACAACGTCGGCGCCCAAGCTCTTGACGTAGTCAAAGTGTTTGGGGGAAGATGTCGTCACTACGTTGAGACCAGAGAGCTTTGCGAATTGAATGGCTAGCGCGCCCGTCGCGGTGCTTCCACCGTAGATCAAAACATACTGGCCCTCCGTAGAAGGCTTGTCAGGGAGCGGCAGTCCCAGGCTTTGGTACAGGCCTTGGCCGACGGTGGTAATGCCAACGCCGAGGGTCGCAGCCTCTTCAAAGCTCACAGAGTCAGGAATGTGAAGGGCGAGATCGGCCTTGGCGACGATATAGTTGGCAAAGGCTCCGTCCTCGTTGTTTACCGCGTTGCCCCCGTGGACCATGCCAGAGATACGATCTCCCTTTTTGAATGACTTGATCACGTTTGCCCCGACGTCCTGGACAATTCCGGCGAAGTCGCAGCCAGACCGGGTGCCAGGGGCTGTGAGAAGGTCGATGTGAAGAATGTCTGTAGGGTTCAAGGCGACTGCCTTGACTTCGACAAGGACATATCCATCACGGAGCGAGGGGACGGTGACGGAAGCAAGCTCCGCAACTCCCTGGGACTTAATAACGACGGCGGTGTTGGCGGCCATAGTGGGCGTGGGTGTGATAGTTTAGCGGGGACAAAGGTGATTCCGCGTATAGCTCCACGTATTGAACAGTGTGGACCAGGTAGGGAAAGAGATGGAAGATTGATGTGCTGAGTGAGGGATAGCATGAGTTAAGCCCGCATCTTCACAGTTATATAGCCAGGAGTATCTCACGAGTCCTGTTGTACTGCAACTTTAAAAGGCTGTGTGGTATTACAAAGCTGGCTACCGTTCGATTCTCGGCGCTTCTATGGCCCAACGGATCTCTGCATCTGACGACTTGTCCAGTGTTTTCTCATGACGACGCCATAAATGCCTAAATAGATTTACTCTATCCCGGGGGAAAACGGTCTTTCAGACAAATTACGCCGTCTTTCAGATCAACAGTGCTGCTAATCGCGTGCTTGGGAGAGACGCTAGTTACGGTTGCCGATAAGCCTAACCGTCTAGAAACACTTTTTAGCACTAGAACTTTTATTAGGGGCCCCCCCCTCGTATTACTAGGGAAAATTATAAGATTATATATAATAGACTATTATATATAATAAGGTTAATAAGATAAAGTAGCTTCTAGGTATCTTAAGCGGGATTTTATTAGAATTGTGACGATCGTAGGGTTCCTAAGGGATAAACCGGTCATATTAGGTTTATATTAGTAGAGGAGAATATTATATAACCTTAAAAGGTAATATAATATTACGTCTAGTAATATACTTAAGGTATTAAGTATAACTAAGTTATATTAATAGCTAAGGTAGCTATTATATAAGAAAGTATATATAGGTATATATTATATACTAAGCTAATTATAAAGGGATTATAATTATCTTAGGATCATCGCAATCCTTAGATTATAGTAATCTTAAGATTATAATAATCTAACTTTAATAGTAATCCTTCTCTAATTAGTACTAATGCCTAGGTATAAGGCGGTTATATATATTATAGGGGTTAGGTATATATTAGGTTATAATATAATATCTCCCCTTCTAAGGCCTTATTTATAAGGCTATTTAAGTAGCTATTTCTTATTCCCTTACCTATAGGTATAACTTAAACCTATAATTATTTCGGGATATTATATTAATAAAATATCTAGCTATATTTCTAAATATCTAAATTAAAAAACTAAAGAATATTAATTTTTAGCCGCGAGTATTAAACTATCTTATAAATTTATAAATATATTATATTTATATTATTTTAAATACTAAAAGAAATATTTAATAATAAAGGGTTCCTTATAGTATAATAAGTATATATAGCGGGGTCATTCTTATAATAAAACGCGGGTTATAAACTCTTATAAGTCCTAGATTCTTTCCTTCAGGGTAGCCCTTCTTATTAATATATAAGATAATATATCGCTTAATCTTATAAGAGAAAAAACTAAAAGAGGATAAAAAAAAGGCTAATACTAACTTATTATAATTTCATAAGGAATTAATAGAGTTATAAATAAAGATAATATTAGCTATAGGTCGCCTATTATGGTTATAGAAAACTAAGAACTTAGTTAAGGAGTATTAGGCTATTAAGTTCCGGCGGGGGATCTAAGGTTTTAAGGGTAAGGATTATCTAGCAGAGGAGCTAAGTTATCGCAAAGAGTCTATCTAAGAGGAGCTATAGTCTTTGAACCCTAAAGGGTTTAATTAGGCTTCTCTTAGCCTAGGTAACTTTAACTTTAACCCCTTACCTAGCTCCAGCGGCATTAATAAAAGTTCTTTAGAAAGTATTATATATTAATAAGGTATTCTAAGGGTTCCTATATATTTTCTAAATCTAAGTAATTCTTTTATTTAATAAAATATATTATTTTATTATTAATCTTATTTATATTAAGGATAGCTTCTATAATATATTCTTTTAGTCTATTAACTTTTATATTAAGTTTATTATCTATTTTTACCTAAATAATATCTTATATTAATTTAAGTAATAAAATATAAAAGATTAAATAGAGCTTAACCTTAGGTAATAAGTCTAATTTATAATTATATTTTAAGATTTTCTATTTAATTTTATATAATCTAATATATTTATAATTAAGTTTTTTATTTTATTATTTTATTTTAATATTTTTTATTACGAGGTAGATTATATCTCCCTCTGCGAAGGTTAATCTCTTAATCCTTTTTTTATTAGCATAGGTTATTATTTTATTCCTAATAAACTTAAGTTCTATCTATATTTCTTTATATAAATTATATAATTAATTGCTAGTAAGGATTACTTTAAGGTTAATAATAATATCTTATAATTATTAATAAGTATTTAGAGTAAATCTAAAGTTTATATATATTAATATAGTCTTTATGTTTTTATTTATAGCTATATTATAGGCTAACTAAGCGGCTAATAGCTTCCTAACCTAATTAATTTATTTATAATTAATATAGCACCGAAGGTATTATTCTAATATCTAATTTATATATTCTATTTATTTATTTATTTCCTTATAGTATATAATAGAGAATTTATAGTTAATTCCTAGATATCTTATAAGGCTTTATTAGAATTTTAAAATAAATAATAATCCTCTATCTATAATAATTTCGAGTAATATATTATATATCTTAGCGATATAAAAGTAAAAAAGATAAGCGAATTCTTTAATTATTATTAATTCTCTATAGGGTATAAAATAGGAAAATTTTATAAGTCTATCTATAATAATAAGAATATTATTATAGAAATTTCTAATAGCTAATTCTTCTAATAGGGGTAATTTAATAATAAAATCTATTATAATAGCTTCCTATAATAGCTAAGGTATTAATAGGGGTTATAATTTACTATATAGCTTATAGCATTATGCCTTAGTTTTTATATAAAGGTTATATTAGCTAATAATTATTAAAATGATTTTCTTTATATTAAGAAAAGTATATATTATTTTAATTTATTCTAGGGTTTTATTAATTCCTTAATATCTATATAATTAGTAATTATATATTTCGCATATAAGGTTATATTATAATTCCCTTAGTATTTATTATTTATTTATTTTTTTATTACTTAGAAATTATTTATTATATTCTAAGATCTTTGCGAAGAATAAATTATTTTATTTTATTATATAAGTTATATTTAGGTATTATTATTACTTAATATATATAATAACCTATTATTATAAGTATCCTTTAAGTATAAAGTATAATAATTATTCCTTAGTTTAGATCTTTCTTATATTTAGGTTAGGTCTCTAGCTAATAATATCTACTTAGCTATTCTTTAATCTCTTAATATAAATAATAATATAATCGAATTTTAAGAGGTATTTAATATATTATAATTATTATTTATTAAGTTCTTAGGTTATTATAAAATAAGAAATATTCTTATAGTTAATATAGACCTTAATTTAATAATAACTTCTTAAGAGGTAATATTAAAATTCCTTAAAAATATTAATAATTACGAGGAATTCTTTATTATAGATAAGGTAATTAAGTTTTATTCTATATAACTTATAGGAGTAGAATATAATTAGGTATAATTATCCTTTATCGTCTTATTATTTAATCTAGGCGCCTAAGGTAAAGTCTAAGGTATTTATTTCTAATTTAATTTATTAAGATAAGTTAAATATCTTAAGTATTAGTTTACTTAGGATAAATTCCTTA